ACATAATATTCATATGATGATCGTTTGAGATGTCAATTACGGAGGCCACTTGCATATTATTTTTAGTCGGTATTCTTGTGGGTCAATTTTCGTAACTCGGTGTAATTCCTTAACCAAGTCACAGTAACTATATGATTCCGAGATCATTAATGTTGTCGTTACCCCTCCAACATATATTGGCATATTATTATTTCCATAATTAAATTTTCCACCATAAGAGCAAGCAATAAAAAAATTTTGTTTAACCTATGCAAAAGAAGATTATATCATTTAAATGCAAAAAAATAAAAAAATATTATCAGGGTATCGAATAAGAGAGAAAAACCCAAGATGCAAATAATCTCATATAATTTTGACCAAAAACCCTTTACCCCAAATTAAAAATTCTAAACCCTAGAATTGAGCATTCTATGTCCTAAAAGTTTAATTTTAATTACAAGAATCAACACACAAAGTATTCGAACCACCACAAATAGAGTGGTTGGTAATAAATTTCAAACCCTAGAAATTCGTTTTTGAGGGAAACCCTAGATTTTTTACATGTTAAAAGAGGAGAGAAGGAAGAGAAATTACCTAGAGATCTTAAGCAAACTTTCATGACGAATTTCAGCCGTAAAATGGGGTTGAAATTGAGATGAGTTGCAACAGAACGAGAGAGATGCCGGAGCTGGAGAGATGCGGCTGGGAGAGATGGGGTTGGGGGGAGAAGGGTTTCGGTTAATTTATATAGTGGGGCGGGACCCAAAACAAGTAGTCGGGGTTGGCGACCCCGACTATTGTGTCACTTAGCCAATTTTCCACTTCCCCAACTTGGGGTTGGTCATTCTCTGCTAAATGATCGGGGTTGGGAACCTCGACCATTTCGAAATAAGCATTTCGAAATGGTCGGGGTTCCCAACCCCGGCCATTTTGGCAATGACTAAATTAGTCGGGGTTTCGAAACCCGACTAATTTAGCTGCCAAATTACTAAAGCGTTGTGGGCGAGGTCCTAATTAGTCGGGGTTGGCAACCCCGACTAATTAAGATCGTAATTTTTTAAAATTGACCCGCTTTCTGGCCACGAAGCTGACGTGGTGAAAAAGTGGGTCGATTTTGGTAATAAATTTTGAAGTGAGTCGATTATTTGGAATAAAATTGGGAATGAGTTCATTTTGAAAATTTCTTCAAACACTTTATTAAAATTTGTGGACTATTCGCGGTTAAATACACCTCAAAGTTTATATCACTTAAATAACCAAGATTTAATTTGTGTTCTTGATAAACAATTGGTGATAAATTATTGATTTTTTAAAATCAGGGAATGGTCTTTTTTATTTTAAATTATAGTCTTTTGTTTCATTATGTTATAGTGTAGATATATTTATTAAATTTAAAATTGTCTAGTCAATTCAGTAATAATGTATACATTACAAGGAATAAATTATTGGAGGTACCGTTTGACAAACGGTTAAGTGAGGGGTTAAGAAGATTTAACCCCTTCTTAACCCGTCAAACACAAATACAAGGGTTTAAATGAGTTAATCCTCTATAATTTGTCAAACATAAAAAATATAGAATGGTTAAGCTAACCCCTCTAGAGGGATTAAAGTGAGTTAACCCCTCAAAATGAGGGGTTTACTAATACTCCTATTTAAAAGGATTAAGAGTTAACCCTTCTAATTATAAAGAAAATAGTCAAAATCATTGTTATTCTCAAACACTAAAACTGATCACAATGACTAAAATAAAATTTATTTAACGAGTTAATAATTTAGTCATTCAGATTATTGATTAGACTAAGTATATTAATCATTCTTTTTAACCCATCTTCTTTAACCTTTTGTCAAACGTGACCGGAGAGATTAATTTGAAGATGTCCTTAGGAAGGAGAATGGAAACGTTACGGACGAGTAAAGGTAACCAAAAAAAAAAAGGGAAGAAAGAACTCAATGCATAAAGCTAGCAAAGGATATAACAGATGAATAACTAAAGTTATCTACAATTCATATGAGATTCCATGGGATGTAATTCATACGGAATGTATGACAAAATAAAAAGCATGCGTCCATTACTAATGCATATTGATTTTTTAGTAAGACGCAACTTTCCGAGATGGTACTTTTATTTTTCACGGCGACATTAAGGTGACAATAATGTTACTTATGTAGGATCAGATGCAAAAATGTCACTTCTTGTAAAACCTTCATCAATATTTTTGCTCAGTTTAAACTAAAAGATATTCAAAACATACAAAAATTCACATGCATCTCAAAATTTTCTAAATATTAATCATCGCTTATCTTTGTCATATTATTAAGTTATTGCTTCATAAGCGCTTAAAAGAGGTGTAAAAATGATCACGTGACTCTTTTAAACCAGATTCTTTACTAACTATGAGTATCACCCCTTAATGCAAAAAGAACTCTTTGCTAACATAGTTATTTTTCTAGGAGCAAAATATATATATATATAAAACATGTCTTAACTAAATATCAATCTGATAGTTTCACCTTTGCACATCTATACATTACTGTAGAATATACAATGCAAATAAATATGCCTAATTAGCACCTAAATACCACAGATCTTCCCCTTCTTTTGCACCTATATGCCATCACTTATTTTTGGCAGCATTTATATACTCTAAAGTTTTTACAAGTTGCATGTTAATATCTTGTATGTAATGCAAACTTGAGAAATTTGCTTTTAAAAGTTGCATGTTAATATTTTATATGTAATGCAAACTTGAGATTTTTGCTCTGAGTTTTCCATGTGACACTCAAAAGCTAATTTTGTAACTTTTTATCATTTAATATCATAAAATTACCATTGCGTACACCCTAGTTATATTTCAATATATTCCAATTATATTTTAAATTAGAATTATGACGGTTTAGCAATAAACTCACTAACTATTAAGGATAAAAGACTCTAAAATTAACTTGTGAGTATTTCAAGGGGAAATCTATGAAAAAATTTCTCACGCTTGCATAAGAGAAGGCACTGAAGTTTAACTTTTAGAAACTTCAAGGTATGTAAGTGTCGTAAAATGTACGTGGGAAATACAAGCTATGAGGTATTTAAATGCAAAGTATGGAAAACTATATATAAGGTATTTAATTGGTAATTAGCCAATAAAAACAGCTTCTGCACCCTTTGGAACTTCCCACTTCATCTTAGGGGGTGTTTGTTTCACTTTTTTTTTGGGATATAGGGTGGATTTCAAGTTTTGGGATGTAAAAAGTGTTTTTTTTTGAGTTTTGGTATTTCTTAAACTTTGTTTGTTTCACTTTTTTTTTGGGATATTGAATCCGTAAATTATAAAAAAATAATATATTTTTAGGATTTGTGAAATCATCTCTTTTGTTTCAACTTCTTCTTGGGATATAAGGTGGATTACAAGTTTTTTGGGTTTTAGAATTCCATAAACCATGTTTGTTTCAAAACCAATTTTGGGATATTGAATCCCCAAATAATAAAAAACTATTATATTTTAGAATTTGTGAAATCCTACAATTGAGAGAGGATGTAGGTTGGATATTAATGTATTAATGCTTATAATATAAGATTAATATATTAAATATAATATTATAATAATATAATATTTAATATAATACATCTATTCCTCTATAATTATAGGAGGACCCAAGAATCACTGTTCATGCTTTAGTAAATGTTGCAGTAAATTACTGTAAAATTATATATAAAAAATATATTATATTATATAATAAATAAATAATATATATATAGTAATATAGTATAAGGTTATATATAGTATATATATATATATATATAGTATATTATATATATAGTATATATATAGTATAGGCTAATATCGCATAAAATATATATATTATATATGATTATTATATTTAATATATCACTGTGTCAGTAGGCTATAAGTAAATGGCTACGGGAGCAATTACTGTAGCATTATATACGTATACATATATTATCATATATTTATATATTAATTTATATATATTGATATATATTTATTATAGTATTATATTATATATATAATAATATATATAATTATATATAATATTAGTAATTATATTGATATTATATATAATATATATTAATATAGTATATATTAATATATATATTATAAATTTATATATATAATATAACATATATATATAATATTACTTATTATATAGATATATAGTATATAGTATATTATATATATGATATAATATATATATAATATAATAGGAGCACCAAATAATCACCGCCATAATGCATTGTTGCACATTCTCCAGCTGTAGTAAATTCATATACTGGTAGCATTATATTATATTACATATAAATATTATATATAATATTAGTATATATGTATATTATAAGATAATATTATATATATAATATATTATATTATATATTTTATATAAATTATATGCTATCAGAAAATAATAGTATATACTATATATATATATATATATAATATACTATAGTATAAGTATATATTTATATCTATAATTTATATTATATATAATAATATAATCATATATAGGTAGGCCCAATTATCACTGTTATGCTGTATAGTATTCCAAATCCGGCAAAATATTATATAATAAGTTATAATATATAATTTATAGTATTCCAATCACGCAAATATTGATGAAGACAAGCAAAATATTACAAACGGTTTTTCTATAGAGTGGCCCTTGGTGCCAGCTGGCTATACAGCAGAGGAGAGAGATAGAGAGAAATGAATGAAGAGAGGATCCCAATGCAAATCAGGGGGCCCCCCTCCTCATTCATTTCTCTCTATCTCTCTCCTCTCTTATAGAGTGCCCAAGGGCACTCTATAGAAAAACCGTATTACAAATTATAGTATTCCAAATCCCAAAATATTGATGAAACAAACAAAATATTACAAATTTTGATATTCCAAATCCCAAAATATTGATAAAACAAACAAAATTTTAGAGATCCCAAAATATGTAAAAAAATTTATATGGATTTTAAATTTTATGGTGAAATCCATATCCATAAATTTTGGGATACAAAACAAACACCCCCTTAAAAGCAAAACCAGCAATCCAAAAGGGCGAGCAACAATGTTCAGCCAGCTCCACTTCCAATCCCCAGCCCTGCATCTTCTTCCCATTCCCAACTCTAAACCTCCTTGCAATTTTCGCCCATTTCCCCCAAAAATTACACCCAAAATCCAAGCTCCCAACTTCATCACCAGAGCTAAAACAAACAGAAACCTTAAACCCCAAGAGAAACCCCAGCAAGTCGAAGCCGAGCTCTTAACCGAAGAAGAGGAGGGCGATAAAGAAAGAGAAGAGGGCGGGGAGGAGTTTTCTTATTCGAGTGCGTACAGAGGACGCGAGGACGAGAAGCAGTACGATAGGGATCCAGAGTTCGCTGAGATTCTCGGGAGCTGTCTCGATGATCCCCAAAAGGCCCAATCTAAAGTAAATTTTATTTAATTTGTTGTCTTTTTGTATCTGGGTTTTGATTGAATTGAGATATGATGGGTTGTTTGTAGATTGAGGAGAGGATAAGGAGGAAGAGGAATAATATATTGCATACCAAGACTGGGTCTGCGACGCCAGTTAAAGTTATCTTCAACAAGTGAGCTCAGAATTAAATTAAGTATTGTGTTAGATTTTTCTGTTTGGGGATTTTTGGATCGACAATTTGGGTGAGGATCCAATTAAAGCTTTGTGGAAATATCAAATATGGCGTATTGAATTGTGCATATGCTGGCGTTGCTTATAATGCGTGTTTAGGTGCACAGGACCATAGTGATCCGAACCCTCAATTGTACACAGCTTATAATGGTCTCCTTGTTGTAAAACATGTGTGAATGCGAAATCATACAAGTTTGGATATACCCCTAATTTGATAGCTCATATCACTGAAAATTTTATAGTTTTGCAACTACTGGCTTCACAGTTTGACCGTTTAAGCTTTTCATCTATATCTTCACACTGATATATTGCACAAAGGCGTGAAGGTGATTGTGAATGATGTGGTTCAACTGAAGGTAGGGATAGGGAGAATGAAGTTGTAAGTTGCTTTAGAAGGAATTGCAGGAAACTGATAACCATTTTTTCACACATAAAGTATGTTGGCGCGCGCGAGCATGCTTCTCTATGTTGTGAACTTTAGTTTTTGGTATTTGGATAATTCAACATCCCATGTCACACATACATATGCATTTGCGCGGGCGCACACACACACACACACTTCTCTTCTCTATGCTCTGGACTTTAATTTTTGGTATTTGGATGATTCAAACATCCGATATAGGTTGGTAACTGATGTATCTAAGGAACAGAGGGCAATAATGATTCAATTGTTATTCTCTATTGGAAGAGATTTGACAACGTTTGCTCCCTTTATTTTGCATCTTCCCTAATCCTGCCTTCATGCTAACTTTCCAGTGCACACACAACAAAAACAACCAACCATTTGACCATCACTTCCACTTACTCTTCCCAACAAACTCAGTATAGAGAAGTAAGATCCCTAAGATTTAGTATTGTCTCTGTTAATTTGTGATTAAACATTCTCTATGTTCTAGCCCTAGCCCTTATGTTTGTTTTTTTACATCACAATCAGTCTCTTCTCCATCCTAACAATAACTGCGTACGCTCTGGGTCCTAATTTTACTAATTTTCTATTATTTCTGGCATTCTCAGGTTTGACTTTTCAAACTCCTATATATGGTTTGAATTCTACAATGCGCCATTACCAAAAGATGTAACCTTAATTTGTGATGTAAGTGGAGCTCTTAAATCTTTATTTTAGATTTTCAACTGGTTTTTATGTTTTTTCTGATATCTTTTCATGGAGACCATTCGATCTTGGCATATCATTGGACGACTTGGTGGCTGCAATTCTATGAATATGCAGGTATTGAATTCTTCATGCATTTCTTTGTGTACTGGGATGATAAGGTATGAATAAGCATTTGTTTGGTCTTGCAATTTTATGCATTCATAGGTTTGTTTAGGTCGTTTGGAACTAACATAATCCCAGTTATCAGAGAATATGTTTAATGACTCGAATAATTTGGCAGTTTGCTGCATGAGATGACCTTCATACTTGCATGTGTGTGAGTGTATCCCAGTGCTCAAGCACGTAGGTCTAAAAATAATACAAAGGCAAAATCAGACTTTATGATGTTCCCTTGGGAAACTAAGATGAAAATTCTCTATACATTCTATTTAAATCAACATACATATTTTTAAACTTCCAACGAGCTAGAAATATAAGCCCACCAGACGACTTGGAGTATCATGAATTTCAATAAGAATAATAATTTGGAGGCTCTTATTGTATGTTGGGAAAGCTAGTTGGAAGAATAGGTTATCAAATTCATTACCTTCATTTTGAAGAAATAAGTAGATTCTACAGATCAACAAGTTCTAAGGAAAATAATGGTCTGGCTGGGACTTTGCTTGCTTGCAACATTTTTAATGTGTTTGAACCTAGCCTTACTTTCTCTTTCTTAAATGACATATAGTTCACAAAATTATTTTTTATTACTTATCTTGTAAAAGAGTGTGTGTTTTAGATAAACTAGTAAACATTGACTGCAAACAAGAAGTGAAAAGGTCGCGACAGTCGCAGAAAAGAAAAGCTGCACATGAAAGTCCGTGCTGAATCAATAGTCGGAATAGTAACAGATGCTTCTTATGATACAGAAAGTGCATTTTGTCCCAAATATGATATAGCAAAATGCTGATATGCTTATTCTTATTTAGTAATTCATGAAACAGTTGCTAAAATTGAGTAAATATATATAGAATTAAAAACTGAAGTTGACCCCCCAACCCTTTTTGATGATGAAAAAACTTTTCATCTACCCCACAAGTGATGTCCCGCAAATATTCATAAGTAGGAGGAAAAAACTTTCCTTCAAGATGATAGTGAATATATTTGTGGAATTAAACCTCAGGATATAACATGACACATAAGGTTATAGGGCTATAATCAAGTCATGAAATAATTAATAATTTAATATTATCCAAATCATAGATAGCATAGATCACAACCATAATTTCCTCCTTGTTATTAGTATCGAAAGGGAAAACAGAGATTACATGATTGTGCAGAGTTAAAATTAATAAAACTGAATAAAAGCATAAGTGGGATAATAGTCTTCATGAATTGATCTAGAGTTGAGATCACTAAAACTGAATAAAAGCATGAATGTGATAATAGTCTTCACGAATTGATCTACGTCTCCCAGAAGTTTATATGGGTAATCCAAAGTTGTGTATGCTAAATATGGTTAATCATATCATACTCCTTTTAAAAGCACGAGTTCGAGAAAATCTTTCTATGGTCAGTATTACCCTTAGCTTCTTTTGAATATTACATTGTTATCCTAATCTATTCTGAAAATCTTTCTATGGTCAGTATTACCCTTAGCTTCTTTTGAATATTACATTGTTATCCTAATCTATTCTAATTTTAATCATATCTTATCTAATTCCACGTGAACTATCTATAGGTCAACAATTTAAAAAAAGTTATTTTGAATATTTCACTTAAATCTTAATCTATCCAAATACTAATTGTATCTTATATTAATTCCATATGAACTACCTATAACTCAAAAATATATAAAAAATAAGATTAAAAAATTATACGTAGATAACATATTATAATACATGAAGTATTATAAAAAAAGTTTTAAAATTTGCATATAATAGCCTTAAAAGTTTAAAATTACGCAAAACACCTTGACTTTTTAAAACTTAAAAACAAACATGTAAAACTTATAATTAACACCCTTAATATTTTAAAAATTATTGAAATAACCTCAAAAGTTCAAAGGCTAAATTACATTTATATACCCTATGTGTTTCGCTCTTGAAGCAGTTATATACCCTAAGTTACAAAATATAGCAAAAAAATACCTTGAGTTGGCAAAAATTTACAAGTTGGTACCTTCTGTTAACCAGCTATGAGAATATTCTCTGGAATATTTTCACGTGCTGGACCTATGACCAACTTCAATACTTTTTACCCTCATTAATTATATTATTTACTGTATTACCCCCCCTCCCCCCGCAAATTAGATTATTTTCATCATCATCATCTTCTTTTTGTAGCCTCCAACTTCTTCATCTTTAATATGGGTAACAGTAGAAAATAAGAGTTTTCACTATGTTAGGGGGGGTTAATTCTTAAGGAGAGGCATTATTGTTATTTCATGTATTTTTTAACACCGTTAGCTAAATTTAAACAGTTATCAACTCAGGGTATTTTTTGCTATGTTTTGTAACTTAAGGTATATAACTACTACAAGAGCAAAACAATAGGGTATATAAGTGTCATTTTGTCATGTTTAAATTACAAAAAAACATTCTAAAATTCAGAGATTTCAAAACTTAGAAACAACATATATGGATTCCAGGGATTACCATTAGGCACATAGAAATTTAAAATTAGTAAAAAAATAACCTTAAGGTACAAAAATTACAAAAACTCTCAAAAGTAAAAAAATATTAAAATTTTCTGAAATTTTAAAACTTATAACTAGTACACATCAAATTTAGAAATTATCAGCAGATTGCTAAAAATTTAAAAGTTTAAAAACAACCCAAAATTTTAGTAATTATAAAAATACCTTCAAATTTTCAGAGTTACGAGAAATATTCTAATATTTAAAAACTTATCAGTAATACATGAAACATGAAAATTATAAGCGTCCAACTTAAAATTTAAAATTTTCATAAAATACTATCAAAATTTAAAAATTGCAAACACACCCTCAAAAGTTTAAATCACAAAAAAGCTGAAATTTGGCAAAGAAAAGAGGAAATATTTGATATTATTACATTAAGATGGTTAGCATTAATTAATTATAATATATAAACATTTATCTCTAATGTTGATAATATTTATTTATAAAGTAAAAAAATACAATGAGTTATGTATGGAGAAACTATCAGAAAGTTCAGAGATATCCTTTAAAAGAACTAAGTTGTTTTCATTTCAAATAGAAAAGTGAAGGAAATAAACTCAAATTTGAGAAACATTTATGAATCACCTGAATTGATATTGATAAAAAGTATATCGAGCAAAGAAGCACTAACCGAGTTCTTCTTGAAGAACATATTGAACACTTATGTCCTAATTAAAAAAACATTATTCATGAAAAGTAAAAGAAAAATTAGTAAGTAATTATAAATTTTCATATTTTATTCTAAAAATACTGAAGGAATCATAAACTTAATATAAAATTTCATATAAATAATCTTGCAATAGAAACTAAAGTGAAGTCATTGATCAACTACATTGCGAGATATAATAAACTAGATAAGATGATAAAAATCACTATAATGGACAAAAAATATGCACATGGTACTTAGTTACCATAGTGTAAGTAAAAAAATTAAAATTGATATTTTTATTTTCTCTATATAGTGGCACGACTCTGCAAGTATTCTTATTTGGGGATATGACTACCAATGAAAGATTAATTTTTAAGAACACGATCATAGCTAAGCATGTAATAGTACTGTTAGAGTTCAAGATCTTTAAATATGAATGTAACATATTTTACAACTAAAAATCTTATTAAAGGCCACTAAATATAAAATTCATCTTATACCTGTCTCAAATTTGTATGAAAGATATGTATGTCATCGTAAATTGTGTTAATAATATATCAACTTATTGAAGAAATAAGAGATAGATAAGCAAACCAAGTAAACATCCGTATAACACGATAAAAAGATATTACACTTTAAAGCTAATATGCATGGCTCATTCAGAACAAGCTGCTAAAACAAAAGCATCTTTATCAAAGATCTTTATAAATACAACACAAATTTAAATTATTTAATATTTTTAAAAATAACTTAATTTTTTGAGTAAAATCAGGAATCTTTAGAAGTGATTTTCATGAACTTTTTTAAATTTTTAATATGGTTATGTGGATGTTTTTATCATATAAAAGTGTAATAGAGTTAGCATTAATCTTTATTTTATGATTTTTTCTAAAGTCTATCAGTGATTAGCAACAAAATTTATATTCTCTTTAGTTTCATTCTAGCTCACTTTTAATTAATCATCTTGTCTTATTGGCTTAAATTATTCATCCTCTTTTTATAACATTATCTTTTCAAGTGTTTTTTACTTTTACAACATTATACCTTCTTAAGCCAAGCTTCGTTTTATGCCGATCTAAATAACGTGAAAATTCAAATTAGCTTTAGATTATAGTTATTTCTTGTCAATTCAATTATTACATGAAAATTTTAAATTTGGTATAGCTCATTCAAACAAACATTAAATAATAATAATTACAAGAGTAAAGTTTGAAAACATAAGTGAGAAAAACAATCAAAGTAGAACTGAGAAACAAATTTTAGTAAAGAAATAAGTCAAAATACTTAATCATAATATTTAATCACATGCATTGCACGTGCATAAATCCTAGTATGCTAAAAATTGTGTATGCTAAATATCCTGTGTACTACTTTTAATTGGCTGCACATGTAAAAAATCTCAATTTTTAGTCCTAGTTTCTGTATCATATTTATCATTGATCATTATCAAGATTCTTTATTAACTGGGTTAAATTTGTAAAATTTGATCTTTGCAGCTGTCACAGTTACCTTTGGACTCCAAAAGACCAAAATATGATGCTATTCAAGGAGCAAATGTCACACCAACTACGTTTTATAATATCGGTGACCTTGAGATTCAAGACAACTTAGCGCGCGTTTGGTATGCATTTCCCTCAAGTTGGCTTGCTCTTCATTAGGCCTATTTGCCAATAATTTTCTTAGAATCAAATTTGGTTTTTTAACAAATATTGACATCCTCTATCCAGGGTGGATATTGGAACTAGTGAACCGTTGCTTCTAGACGTATTAGTAAATGCCTTGACCTGCATAAGCTCTGAGTAAGTGTCAACTAAATTACTTCATGACCATATTTTTTGGCCATTCCCTGCCTTCGGTGCTGTTCACTGGTTAATTTATTGTCAATCTTCACTTGTAACAACCAAGCCCGTTCACGCAACAGCTATGTAGGGATCAAGCAGTTGGTTTTTGGCGGCTCAGAGTTTGAGAACTGGAAGGAGAACTTGACCTCAGAGGATGCTGGTTACAGCAGCCACAAGATCTAGCTTATTTCCGTCGAAAGGTACTTCTATAGTTTATTCCATGAGTAACTTTGTATTTGCATATATTTTCTAAACTTTGCTGTCTTTATTATGCAGTCCCATCCTGGTCCTAAGAGCAGCTTGAGATTACAGGCTGATGCACTCGCGATCTGAGAGGAGAGCCTTCATATATTGACGCCGCGAAACACTGGGGAGAGAGTTCAAGTTTTTGGCAGAAAATAGTGGTGCTGGGATTGCTGTTTTTGTGCTAGCTATCCGTATTCATTCTCCTGCAGTTTCGAGGCCTTCATGATTTTCGGCCTGAAAGGGGATTCAACAGTTGTGTATTGGTTTCATATAGGCACGGAGCCCTCTATTGAGCTATAGAGCTTAGTCACGAGCTCTTAATGATCATGTTGCTTAATCTTAATCAGAAATGTAACACTTTCTCAATCTTCATCATGAGTTTGACATCTAGATATACAGCGTGCTTTTATGGTCTTACTGGACTTTATGAAATGGTTTCAGTTAAGTATAGGTTTGTTTGGATATTATTATGTTTTTATTATTGTGTTTATCTAAAAAAACACGATGGTGATGTCTTCCCTCTAAAGTGTTTTAAGAACACTATGTTGAGTATTTTTGGTTAACCTAGGTTAACCTGTATAACATAGTATTAGAAATTTTATTAAAATATTAATCATTAATTACAATAGAATATATAATTTTATTAAATTTTATTAACCTGTATAACATAGTATTAGAAATTTTATTAAAATATTAATCATTAATTACAATAGAATATATAATAATTAAAAACTTATAATATTTTTATATTATTATATTATTATAAAATATAATAAAATATA